GGGGAGGCCGCTCTCTGCCAGGCAGGCCCGGCGATGGCGCCGCCTCAGCCCTGTGCAGCCGGGGTGGCTCTCCCGCCTGGGGATGGCGGGGATGTCCTGGGTGTCCCGGTGGGGATGGATGGGCTTCACCTCCCTGGGAAGCTGCCAGGGGCCATGCAAAATGGAGACCGACATTATACAGCGGAGCAGGCTGGTGTCTGGTTGCCACAGCCTGAGAAGGCTGAACCCACCCACCTGATAACACAGAGACAAAATACACAAGTGGTTTTTGGTTTTTTAGGCATTTTGGTGTTTTTTTTTCGTAAAGCCTCAGACTGGTCGGAGAAAGCTGGAGCTTTATTCTGGCCCAGACTTAAAGCCCAAGGGCCGGTGAACATGAAAGCGAGGTGGTCATGGCTGCTTGGATGCCCCACTTGCTCCGCAGCACTGTGGGTTTTTCCTCGGCGGAGCCGAATGATTTGGTTTCTGAGGGATTCGCACCCTCACACCCTCAGATTTACAGAGGCCCAAAGTGCTGTCTGTCCGAGACCGGGGGGATTCAAAGCCTGGCGCCCGGAGAGCGCGCCCGCTGCCCGCCGGTGCAGCAATGGCCGGTGTGTGTGGAGACCCGACGGTCTCACTGTGCTTTGCTCCTCACACGCAGCGCCTGCAATTAACACTCTTACACTCTTGCCTCTAAATTAGTAGCAAGGACCCATTGCCAAACGTTGCAAGTTCAGGCCAATAAAACGTAGCTTTTTTAAAAAAAAAAAAACAACACCCTTTGAGTGTGTTATAGAGGAAAAGGGAAATGTGCCCTGAGCACTTAGGTTTTATTTCGATTTGCGTTTTATGGAATATTATTTATGGGCATGTGAAAGCTTAATGAAGGAGCGCGGTCTGGTAGCTGGAGATTGTCGTCTGCTCTGGGGAAGGCAGTGTGCGGCAGTCTGGGTTTTGGGGGGCTAGGGGGTGATTTCAAGGCTGCTTTCTCTCAGTGTATGGCAAAACAGTCCAGCTACCTGGACCACAGTGGCCGGGCTGCATGTGTGTAAGGCGGAAGCATTGAGAAAATAGCACTTTTCTCTCTGGTCCACATTCAGGCAGGATTTTTGTCCCCTTACCCTGTGATACTGCTGGATTGCTAAAGCTACAGGCTCTGGTCAAGCTGCTTCTTGCAGAGCTGGTCTCCAAACCTCAGCTCACACCGCCTGACAGCAGTTTTGGTGCTGTTTTGGCAGCAGCGTGGCTTTGGGATGGGGCAGAGTGTCCTGCTGGCAGGCCGGGAGGTGAAATCAGGTTGGTTTGGTCAGTTGTGAGTGTTTTTTCGCAGCGTAGTGCTTTTCAAGCCAGCCCAAGCACGCTACCCCTCCTCATGGCATGCAAGAGGGACGGCCATTGCGGCCGGGCAGCCGCTTCCCAGCTGGGCTTGGCTGCATCCAGCCCCCGGTGTGTGCAGAGCGGTGCGGTTCGTGACAGCTTTGAGCTGCTCCTCTCTTATCTGGCACCAAAGCCGCAGCCACGTTCACAAACCAGGTGCTCCCCCGCCTTTCTCCTTGGTGGAGCCTGCGTGGGAAGGCAGGCGCTGTCGATCGCCCGCAAAACGGCTGGAGGGCAGGGAGGAACCTCTCCTCCCCTTCTCCTTCCCGTGGCCGATGGCTGAAGGACTCACCTGGGATGAGAAAGAAGGTTCAGATCAAATCCCCTCCCTATCTGCCCCTCCAGAGCATGCCCTTGCCACTAGTTAGCTGGAAGGGATTAGCTTGAGTATTTTTTCCTGGGGGAATGCTGCAGGGTCTGGAACACCAACCTTGAGAAGTTTAAAATGCTTCATCATAATAAATACATATAAAACACACATACCTATGCGTGCATAGCAAACACACAACCATATGAATGTGTGTCTATATACGTATGCATATCTAAAACCAACAAGCACGTTTATCGTACTCAGTCTCAGACATTTTCTTGCTCAGAGTCGATTCAAAATCCAGCCGATATGAGCAAAAAAAAATCCCTGCGGCCAGATGACATCCCACTACCAAAGCAGAAAGGTGTGATGCCCCTGCATTTAACAAGGGAAAAACAGGGGGCTTGGGAGCAAACAGAAAGGATGAAGAGCCACCTCCAGCTGGCCAGCCAAGCGCTTTGGGCTAGAACTGCTCTTTCTACAGATTGTCTTCTCATGAGGGGTGTTAAAGGGCTGAGAAAGGCGCAGTCACGACGTTTCTAGCCATGTCCCCCTGCATAACCAGTGCCAGAGCTTGGCACTCAAGGACAGGGGTTTTGCGTCTCTCCTTGGAGAGCAAAACTCGTTTCTCTCTGTCTCAGGTGCGCCAAGGCTGGGGGTGTGCTGGGCTCTGTAAAGAAATGACACCAGCCTCAGGACAGCGGGGAGTCGCATAAAAGCCTTGAGGTCCTCAAAGGATCTGCTATTCTGGGTTCCCATCTCTAACCTGGGCTTCTCACAGGAGGATGGGGCCCGGCAGCACCGGGCAGAGGTCCCTCTCCAGTTACAAGCTGGCTGCAACTCCCTTTGGGTTCAGATCCCCCAAGAAAAGGCACTGGGGGCTCCAGCATCCAAGGGAGCTGGGTAGCATCCCCACCATGCTGCCCCAAGTCTCCCTTCCCCCAGCAAGAAGAAAGCCTGAATTTCTCACTCTCTTTATCCTCTTGGAAGGAGCAAAATACACAGAGAAATCAAGCAGAGGGATATTGTGGCTCCTAGCTTGGGAGTTTTCAGCTGTGTGTTTATCAGCTCCATCCCCTGATGGTATCAGCACGAACAGGCCACCCACAAGAAGGCTTAGCAGGCTGGTCTGGACTCCAGCTTTTCCTCTCTGTCTCCGTGTGTGTGTATATACACCACCGACTATCTCAGGGACCGGCCGTCTGGGGCCTGCATCCATTTATTTACTACACAGCTGATGTAATGGCTAAACATTTTTTTTCTGTGTTTATGGGTTGTGTTTTTTTAATCTGCCAGAGATGAATCGACCCTTAGAGAACTCAGCTTAGTCGTGTCCCTTCTTGGATAGGAAACAACAAATTTTAGGACAGGAAATGGGAACAACTTAAACAAACGGGTTTAGGATTTTTGTATTTTAAGTCCCTCAGCTCTGTCTGCCCTGGCAGATCCAGGAGATGCTTTTCCCTCTGACTTTAATTCCTTGGGCAGAGGATGGGACAAACTCCACAAGCCTCAAGGATAATGCTCTAACCACCTGCTTTCTTCCTCCACCCCACCAGGCACGTCAGATCTGAGCCCCTTCTCTGATCCCCGGCAGTTCGATCGCTCCTTCCCGACGCTGCCGGCTCTCACCGAGACCAGGTTCTCCGACCCGCGGATGCATTACCCCGGCGCCATGTCCGCTGCCTTCCCTTACACCGCGACACCCTCCGCCACCGGCATTGGAGGCATCAGCATGACCAGCATGCCCACCACGACACGTTTCCACCACACTTACCTGCCGCCCCCCTACCCTGGCTCCACGCAAAACCAAAGTGGACCCTTCCAGGCCAACCCCTCTCCCTACCATTTGTACTACGGCACGTCTTCGGGCTCCTACCAGTTCTCCATGGTCGCGGGTGGCGAGCGCTCCCCCACTCGGATGCTCTCTTCTTGCACAAGTGCCTCAGCGGGGAACAACTTAATGAATCCCAACCTGGGTAGTCAGAACGACGGGGTGGATGCAGACGGGAGCCACAGTAACTCGCCGACGACCATGACGACTACTGGGAGGATGGATGAGTCCGTCTGGAGACCCTACTAGGAGGAACTCAACTGGGCAGCGATAGCTTTAACTTAAACAGCTACCGTTATGTTACTCCTTTTGGTAGTGAATAGAGCAAAATGATGCCTAGGGAAAGGGTAAACCAAAGTCTCCCAAACCAAAAGCAAACCGGGATCTTCTGCATGCAAACATGGGCAAACATCAAGCAAAGACGGACCAAGATCTACGTTACATTTCAAGATGAACGTCCACAAGGCTTGAATTTGTTGCTTGATGTGGTTCCTTTTGTATGTATGTGGATTGTATATAGGGGAAAAAAAAAAAAAAAAAAAAGGACATTTGAAATCAGATGTTTGTTTCTTGCAGAATATTTCTCAGTCATCTCACTCGCACCTCTTCCCCACACAAAGCATTCAAAAGTTACGAAAAGCTCACCCTTCTTCTGCGAAATGTTTCAGAGAAGAGCAAAGACCAGGGAGTCGTCCAAGCCATCTCTCTGCCAATGCAGGAAGACTGAACTGAAAAAAAAAAGAAAAAAAAAAAAGAAAAAAAAGAGAATAGAAGAAGAAAAATGAAGAACAAACTTTGTCCTAACCCTGTGGTGTCCCACCTCTAACACAGCTATGATGTTCAAGCACGTGAGAGTCTGGTTTACAGCACAACCGTGGGGACTCGGGCACGCACCGGGGCTGCGCGCTCCTCACAGTCGGCCGGCATCAGCCATGTGAACAAGAGCTGTGATGTGATTATTATTATTTGTTGTTGACGACAGAGGTTGTATTGTTCATTTTTGTCATTGTCGTCATTTTTAAAACAGTAACGTGGCTGATCCCGTGCCTGACAACCCCCCCCCTTCCTGTATGTTTACATATGAGATGTACTTTTTACAAGACGTGTTTTGTTTTGTTTTGTTTGCTCTTTTGTCCTGACCTCACCATTCAATTCTTTGCTCCTCTTAGCAAATCTCAGTGATGCTGGCTGAAGCGAAGGCGGCGTTCAGGACAATCCCAGATGTATGACATGCACTTCCAAGCGCGTTAGCTGCAAAAGGGACTCGGGAGCCTTTGGCGTGACCCCGCCACCGGTCTCTGGGTCTTCCTTTCATCCTCTCTGAGTGGCGACACATGCAGCTGGTGGCAAAGCATCATATATCTCTTATGATTCTTTCCCATGTTTTCACCCAGAGCGGATTGACGCACGATGACTATTTTTTTTATTAAGAAACGTCTTAGTTCATACTGAAGGCTCTAACTGAGATTTGGAGAAAGGAGCAATTTCTACTCAGTCCCTTGGTGGTGGGAATATTGCGAAGCAATGTTATCTGGCATTTTCCATCCCCTCATCCTCCTTTCCTTTCCCCCAAGTGACCCAGAGCACGGGGATCTTACTGCAGATGAATAAGCTGAAGAAGGGGCAGGAAAGGTACCGCTGGCTGTCAGTGGCTGGTTGCCTCACGTGGCATTTGGAGTAACCAGGTCTCGTGGTGCCCAACCAAAGAGGTCGCCACCTGTACGGGATGGTGACGGGAGGCAGCCGGAGGGGCGGCAGGGCCTCCCCCACGGCCAGGTCAGTGGCCTGGCTCTGACGCACGCCGCAGGGTTACATCGCCTCCCATGAGCTGGCTGTGCTTGCTGCTGGCGTGGGAATTCGGGCTGGATTTGGGATTCCTCCCGCCGGCAGGGCTGAGGGTGCGTGGGCAGGTTCCCAGGGAGCACGTAACAGCGGTACCCACTGCTCTCCACAGCTTTCCCTGCAGCAAAGGGACAGGGACAGTCCCAGATCCCAGTTGCCACCAGTAACCAAACTTTTTTTTTTTTTTTTTGCATGAGCATAGGAAAATTGAAACCCCCCATTGCTCTCCCGGCCCCTCTGTCTAAGTTACACCATTACAGCCGCGCCGCCTGTCACCAAATCTCAGTTGGCAGCTTGTCAGCCCTCGGTTGAGGTACAGAGCGTTGTAATTGCACTACCACGTCAAGACTGGAGCAAGACATCCTGGCTTCGTTGGAAAGCTGCGATGACCACTCGTGAGTTAAATAAGCAACGAAAAGAACAACTCTTTTAAATAATAATAATAATAATTAAAAAAAAAAAGCCCTACCCCAGCAAAACTGCAACCTTCACTCGCCTTAGCGACAGCGAGCACCTCTCCGGTGCTTGCCAGCTGTAGAAACTGGACCACGGCAGCCTGTGTTTTGATGCATTTACGTTTATCATCCGATCGCGCCACTGATTGAAAGCACAAAGAAAACAAGGCATTCGTAGTACTAGGTTAATTTAAGACTGTTCGTAGCGAATCTAAAGAATAAAATAATGAAAACGGAATGGCAACGATGTTGTTTTTATGACATATTGTCATGTGAAGGTGTAAATATATGCACCTCTATTGTATGCAAATGGTCACAAGACAGGCCAACGTTTTTTGCTTTGCACTATAATTTGCTTTTTTAAAAAAATGCACAATCGCTTGTACAGTAAAACCCCTTTGTCTGGCTCACAGAATATTTAACTATAAAATCTAATTTTTGGTCTTATTTGTTATAATAATATAATTCTTAAATGTGTTGAAGGATTCGATTCTTAATAATGCTTCTAATACTTGTATGTGCAGGGTAAAATAACACCAAACGACTAAGGAGATGAGAACAAAAAGAGCTTTGTAGATAAAGAAGGCTAAAGTTGTTGGTTTTTTTTAATGGTGTCTTGCAATGGACATTAAAAAAAAATGCTAGTGATACCAAATAATGTGGTTATTTGTGTAATATACCAGCCCTACTTGAAGGTAACGCCCTATATTTAATATGTAGCCCATCTTTTTAACCTGTAGCACTTGTCACTGGGGAGGGGGGAGGCGGGGAGGGAGGGAGAGGAAGAGGAGGGTCTGCTCTGGTTGAAGTCATTGGAAGAAGCTCTCGCTGGAGACCTCTCTGCGGCGCTGGCTTCAGTGAGAACAGAGCCGGGCTCCTTCGCGAGCGGGTGGAAACCGCCTTGGTACGAAGCCATAGCAAAAGTGGTCAGTTCTGCTTTTCTGTTACCGGTGTCGATGTTCTTATCCAATGTACATGATTATATCGTCAGGCCTCCGTGTAATCATTTTAATGACTTTCCATGTGGAATAATAAACGTACGGTTACAAGTCTCCCCGGTGCCTTCCGCCTGCTCACTTCTTGCCAGGGGGAGCAGATCTGTGCCCCGGTGCAGAGGAAAGTTCGTCACACTGCTCTTTCTCCAGGGTCCCATTTTGGCACCTCTCCGAGCATCCCGGTGCCCGGATCCGGTGTCGGGGGGGGGGACTCAACGGCTGCTCTCGACCCCAGTTTGGCAGGAGCAGGCGTTGCAAGGGTGTCTGGGGAGGAGGGCGGGCGGGTGCCTTCACAGGGGTGCAATGGGGGGGACCCACTGGGCTCTGAGCTCTGAGCAAACCCCTTTAGGCTTCTCCAAGGTGGGTCTGGACCACTCGTGCTGCGCCAAGCTAGACCTGGCAGGTGATCCCTGCATCCCCAGCCAAGCATCCCGCGCCCCGACCGCCGCCTGTCATCGCTTCCCGAGACACAAAAGCTCCGGCACAAATCCTAAACAGGACCCACATTCCCAGGCGGTCCAAGCCCAAACCCCTTAGCACTCACCACTCGCCTCCAGAACCCAAATGACAGCTGAAAAGCAAAAATAAAAATTAAAAAAAAAAAAATAATCCCAGCCTACAATAGCGTCCGGTGCCAAGGCGCTGTAGGCTGGGGGCTCCCGAGGAGACAAGGCACTCAACGCAAGCGGTATTCATGAGGC